GCATAAGAGGTTCCACTCAAATATGAGGAGAAACTTCTTCACGGTGAGGGTGACAGAGCCCTGGAACAGGCTGCCCAGGGAGGGTGTGGAGTCCCCTTCCTTGGAGATTTTCAAGACCCGCCTGGATGCTCCTGAGTAACATGCTCTGACAAGCTCTAGGCAACCCTGCTTCAGCAGGGGAGTTGGACTAGATGATCTCTATGGTCCCTTCCAACTCTAAAATTCAGTGAAATTCAGTGAAATACAAACACTCTCAGATCTGAAAAAGGTAATTGGGGCAGGAGGAGCAGGGCACAACGCAATCAGTGCACTGCAATGGAGCGTAATTAACAAGAACACGGCAACACTCGCTGTTCAAGGCTATTCCTTTGAGCCCAGCGAGGACAGAAGGAGCATTAAAGGCCAAACATAAGCAAGAGCCAACATGCCTCACGCACAAAAATAGGGTGAACGTTCAGAAACTGATGTCAGCACCGTCTCTACCAGGCAAAGAGCCTCATCAGCAAATGTTGGAAGGAAACAGAGGAACTGATGCAGCACCAGATCACCAACCACACCCCAAAATCCCCCCCAATAACCCAGCATCCAACACGGATATTTTGCTCTTTGTAGGTATTAACGATGCCCACAGAATGAATGAAACTGGGGGATTTGCCCCTTAGAAGTTCGTGTGGGGAAAGCAATTAGTTAGCTGACAAACCTACCATCACCAGATGCTGCAAAGCTTGCAAGAGTCAAGGGCACTCCAACTTCAGATGAAGCCAAAGTATGGTTTAATACCAGTGTGAATGCTTAATTGCTTTCAAATCAATTCAAGACCAGTCTGCTCTAAGAAATATCAGAACTTCTCCGTTCATGCCGCATGGCTTACCTCCAGAGTTTAAGATTTAAAACTGAAATTTCTGCTAAGAAATCCAGAGCATGTGTCAGTGGAGCAGAGAGGAAAGAAAAAAACATGAGGTTTAATTAGTATATTCAAACACAGACTGTTTATATCAGTCTTGTACACTTATAATGGTTTTAGTCCTACAACAAGGACTCTGCTTCACAGGAAGGTGACTACAGGTTCCCCACGTCTTCACAGCAGTTACCAGGGTCCTCTGTCTTCACAAACCAACAGAAAGCTTGTTTTCCTGGGAGTCCCTGAAGGCTTTTTCAGTGGAGATGGAAAGGAACACATACATCCCAGTTCCTTCCACCAGAGCTTCCCAAACAGCAGCAATAACCAAGGTAAGGGGGTACGCTGTGAGTAAAACTGGACAGTCCTTGGAACCCCGTAGACTCCTGTTCTCCCCCCTGTTGACAGCAGAGCAGTTTCACCCACTCCCCTGCACGTCCACAGCACGACCAAACCCCAGCAGACCGAGTTCAAGCACTGGTTCTCCGTTCTGCATCCCTCCTACAAAAGCTTTCTGAGAAATATCCATCAAGAATTTCTTTAGGCACAAAAACTCACCACGATGACTCCACAATTTCACTGGTTTGGTACCTGGTCAGTGTGACTGTTGCAACCAACGAGCGAGCAGCACAATAGGTGAAGAGGCATAAATGAAACTTGCTGTATTGAGCACAAAGATGGACACATTTGAGGAAACAGCATGGATTTTAGCTATGGAGCTACTCAACAGGATTTCTTTTCTGAATTAAACACCAGAAGCCAAACTTGAAAGCAAAATCCTCTCTCAGTTCCACCAGGCTTTGATCAAGAACACCATTCACACCTGATGGGACAATCCTGAAGGTGTCCTAAAGAAGAAATTTCACACCCTACACATTTAAGCGTTATCTTGTTACTATCGGCTCAGGAACACAGAGGCCAAAGGTGAGCCTGGGGACAAAGTGGGAACAACAGGAGCTGCAGCAGAGGCCAGAGGAGAAACACAAATACAACAACTGCAGCAGAAATGCACAAACAATTCATTTACAAACTTTTCAACTTTATTTGAGAGTTCAACAGTTTGGAGAAAATACATCGCAAATGTTTTAGCTTTTAAAAGATCCCAAAATAAGTTACATAAAAGACTCGCACAGTTCTAAATATTAAAAAGATCATAAAAATTAATGGCTCTCATATGCCAAGATTAATCCTTTTCCATTTTGACTAAATTAAAAGTTGCCTGTGCAGGGATTATTTTTATAGCTTTTATGCAGAAAACACCACAGTTTTCAGGTCTTGATGCCTCAGTGAAGATTTACAGGCACGGGCACTTCAGGGCAAAAAGAGATCAGGAGAGATAACATCCCGTGAAAGTCAGATCTTTGTATTCACACAAGATCTCTAACTAAACGTTATTGTAAATTGAAAGAGGTCTTAAGTAGGCACCAGTATCCCCTGTCAGAAGAATGGAAAGTTTGCTGTTCGATTAGGCAGGTTACAGAGAAGTTTAATTTTAATTCAAGACCTTGACGCCCCCACAAGGTTACCAGCGCCTTCTACAGAAGATCTGTTTTTCAGAAACTGAATAAATTAGTGTTGGGCCTATCTTGACAGGTTTGAGCCACACCAATTCTTAGTGTCCTCAGCTCCCTGATAAGGAAAAACATCATCTATTCAAAAATTTGCTTTTTCTTCCTTCATTGTTCCATACTTCTTCCCAGATTTACAGGTGCTGGCATTCAGATGGATAACCACAGAATGAAACCTAGTGTCAGTTGCTGCTCCTTTCAGCACACTCCATTACAGGACATAACAAAACAACATTAAAGGCTACTGATCCTGTGGAGTTTTCTCTTTCTACTGTACCACACCAAACCTTTGATACGCAGCAAGCATACAGTTATCTTCTCAATTCAGATGTGAGTTTGAAGTCCAGCTCAAGTTAAGTATCACATTTTTGATGGCTATGAGATAGCAGACTCAAATTTAGGAAGCTCTAGACACATTTTCATTCATCCCCAAAAATGTTTGCTCCTTTTCACCCCGATTTCTACCTATCTGGGTCATACCAAGACACTATCTCCCCTTTCTCCTGGAGCTCGTCTATTGACAGTGCCACTGGAGTCACACACTCGGTTAAAATGCGAGTCTTTCTGCTCTGTATCTACTTCCTAATACTTTCATATTGGTCATTACAGCACAGTAAAGTAAAAGAATGTCATCTTCATTATATTTGCTGTCCAAGTATTTCCCTAGAGGGTCACAGCTCGGTGGGTATTTTATATCAGCCTTGGCACTGAACACCACATACTCTCCCCTCCGTGTATCAGAGTCCTCAGCTCTATTTTATATCAGCCTTGGCACTGAACACCACACACTCTCCCCACTGTGTGGGGAGTCCTCAGCTCTGGTTACTCTCTCTGGAGGTGTCCATGACAGAGGCACAGTTACAGACCTGAAATATTATACATCAGGAACTCAGCATAGCTCTGCTTCTGTTTAACAAAAAGACTCTTTTTCATAACATGACTTCCAGGAAAAAAAAGAAAAAAAAAAAAAATATCAGCCTTGGCACTGAACACCACATACTCTCCCCTCCGTGTATCAGAGTCCTCAGCTCTAGTTACTCTCTCTGGAGGTGTCCATGACAGAGGCACAGTTACAGACCTGAAATATTATACATCAGGAACTCAGCATAGCTCTGCTTCTGTTTAACAAAAAGACTCTTTTTCATAACATGACTTCCAGGAAAAAAAAAAAAAAAGAAAAAAAAAAAGAGGGAAACAGGTCTCAGCTTCTGCCAAGAGGATTCTATCCCTTTCAGTCTTTTATTTTATATATTTTTTTTTACCCTTTCTGCAGATGACAGTCATGTGACCAAAGCACCAGCAGGAAAAATTTACCCAACGGGAGTGTATATGACATTTTTCAGGCTGCTTTGGGTATGGAGAGCTCCCAAAACTGCCTATGGAAATAGCACAGGCAGCGTTTCCACTGATGGGATTAAATGAAATCAGCTGCATTGTGCTGCAGCCATCCAGTTTCCTCTTTGGCTGCAAGCACTGGCATCAACTCTGATAAGCCTCAGATAGTGCTTCATTGAAATCAAAGAACCGAGACAGCTCTGACTTATTAGTATTCCGTGATACAGTAGTGACTGATTTTTAATTTAAAAAAAGAAGAGGGAAAAGGTGATAAAAATCTTACATTTAAAAGTCTTCTTTCTGTTTACAGGAGCCTTTATTACTCCTCGATGACAAAGAACCCATTAGGATCTCCACAAAAACTTCACTGTGTGTTTGTAAAAGTAAATTTTCCTTCCATTAAATATATAGCTTATCTAGTTCACCTTAAAAAACAAACAAACCATACACTGCAATGCCTATGAAGGATACTGGCATGATAGTAGGAACTGTAAAGTCCTCCTTCCAGTCACAAAGGCGTACAGTCTGCGTAAAAGATCTGGGAAGACCCCTCTTGACTGTATTCTCCAAAGCCCATTATGTCTTTAGTCCTTCCACAGACAACAATATTGTCCAATAGTGTTATTTCTTGGTGTAGTCTTAATTTCTATTCTGATGCAACCTACCACTTCTGTTCCTAAACCATACTGTACAGCTTAGGCTTAGAATATTGTGCTCATCCCAATCCATGTCCCTCAGAAGGGACATGGGACTATGTGTTCCAGCAGTCAGCCTTGGGGCTTAACCACAATATACAGCTTTACATTGGGTAAAGATAGCTGTACGTTGTGATAGTGTTGTGATATTGTGACTGTGTATTGTGATCTCTCTCCCAGCTTGTGGCTGGACTTCCTGTGCACTCACAGTGTGTGTATATATATATATATATAAACCACATATGTGTACACACAAAGTAGGACTGAGAAGAGAGATCAACACCAGCAAAGCAACATTAGACTTAAGCCCCCTATTAGTGCTCAGGGTATGAGCAATGGAGTCAGGTGAAAGTTTCAGACACTCAAGTGACAGAAGCTAAAGCAGGACATAAAGCAACAAACCTCCTGCGGCAAATGTTTTCGTAAGTTTCAGACACTCAAGTGACAGAAGCTAAGCAGGACACAAAGCAACATACCTCCTGCGTCAAATGTTTTCGCTGAAAGTTTCAGACACTCAAGTGACAGAAGCTAAAGCAGGACATAAAGCAACAAACCTCCTGCGGCAAATGTTTTCGTGTATTAGAGATGACCCTGCATAATCCACTCTTATTTGTGATACATAAGCAGAAAGAGCAGTCACAAGGGCACCCTTCACAGAACACTCCTGCTATTACGTACCTTCTCTGACAAATAGAAAAAACAATTACGTGATCAGACATTTCAAAGGCAAACTGGTACTACAGCAAGCACACTTGGAAAAAGCAATAAATAAGAAAACCCTGCTGATACAGTAGGCTTAGAATAGCCCTATGACAAAGAAATGGCTTTCTAAAAGCCTTTACAAGGTCTGCACAGACTGTAAATGTTCAGTATAAAAATAAACAAAAAAAGATATTAAAATGTGACACAGTAAAATTTTTAAATAGAGAGGACCTGGTAACAAATACAAGCTGTTCCCCTTCACACACACAGGCTGGACCTGGTAACAAATACAAGCTGTTCCCCTGCACGTACACAGGCTAAAAACTGGAGCCATGTCATTAATTACTTTCCGATTAATCGAAGTATTTTAGTCGACCCGGAACAAAACTTTGACATGAAATAGCTTAAGGCTTTATTGCTTTCATTTAAATTTGGCAATTGAATTTATAACCCTCCTTGTGAGACAAAACATTGAAGTGTTTGGTTTTAGTTTTTAAATCCAAACTCTCTGTGTACCAGGAGGGTAAGGTTAACAGTCAGCAGTTTTTATCCATAAAGCCTGCAGAGAGGACATATCAAACAATTACTCATTTATAGCTGAAATAATGACAGTTGTCATTAAAAAGGGGCTGATACTCTTCCTTTTTCCATTACCAACACTTAAAAGTGGGTGTAGTTTTTCTTCATCTGCAACGAGGGGACAATGACAACATCATCCGAGTCGTCAGAGTGAGCTTCCTCCCCGGGAGTCAGATGCCATGGCTCCTCAGAGGACCTGGCTGAAATCATTCCAAAGGAAACAAACTCATCAATAAACAACATTGACTAAAACAAGCCCTTGTGGGAAGTGTAATATTCTCTGAGCCATTAAGCCTCCAGAATTACCTACTGTTATTCACAACTCTGATCTATCTTTTCCTGCATGTAACTATTCCCGTCCCGCTTTCGTTAAAGAGCAGGCATGGCAAGCAGTAAGTTGACATACTGACCACACATGATTTGTCTTATTGTCTTTAAATCTTTGCAAGTGGTTACACACCACAAAGTAAAGCAATTCGATACTGAAGCCATCTCGGGTCATAAAAATAAATATTTATTAGGTGGCCAAAAAAAGGAACAATTGACCCAAGCAAGCTTAAGCTAAGCAGAAAGGTGATAATGAGAACTTCAGTCGGATAGAGACTGGAAGCTCTCAACAACTGTCTTTCATCCTTATATCTGGAAAGTACAAAAAAAATATTATTCACATGATGTACTACTTAATGACAATAAAAAATGGTGACCATACTGTGGTTTTACTTATTTTTTCCTTGATGTACTACTTAATGACAATAAAAAATGGCGACCATATCGTGGTTTTACTTTTTGTTTTTTCCCCCCTTTTGCTTCTTTGCTGTTTTTCTGGGTGCGTGGTTCCACACACCTAGTTGATTCCAACATTTGAAGAGATGTCCACGGCATGAACAGACAGAACTCTAATGATTCCAGTAAATACTGGAAAATCTGAGGGATAAAATGGATGCACAAAGGCCCCTAACATCTGATGAGCAGAATCAGCAGCTTGTATCCCTTCTGCAAGAGATCTGTGAGCTAAGTGATGGCATCTATTAATACCCTCTAGTACAATATCCTCCTTTCAGCTATTAATAGCTTTAAAATATACCTTGTCTGAAAACACTATCTCCCAGAGAAAGAAACAAATCAAAATGACCTGTGGTAGAAAGGGGAAACAGACAAGCAAGAAGCCATGCCCTGAGATTTTGGCACTGAAAGAGAAGAGAAAACCAAAGGGCACACAGAGAATATTACTTGGGAAGAACAATAAACATGCCACGGATAAATAAGAGGTTCCTGACACAGAAAAAACCCCACTCCTTTGGTTTGGAAGAGGAGGCAGCCACAGCAACTGGAATGTGGAATAAAGAAAGGGGACAGCAACTGGAATGTGAAATAAAGAAGGGGACCACAACCAGCCCAGAAATAGCAAGAGTGACAGAGAGAGAGCCTGTGAGTGGAGAGGAGGAATGCAGGGAGGCCGTGACATTGACCTCAACCTACAGAAGCACAGAAACCCATCACTTTCTAGTTAAGTGAAATTTTTCTCTGCATCAGTCAACAAATAATGTAAGAGTTTTTCAGGAAGATTTACGAGCCAGCAGTACTAGTGATAAGGATGAGCAAAGAGAACTTCCAGAAGCAGGCACGATAACTAGAAGATGTAACTCCAACAATAAACAGATATTATATATGAAATAGCATAATATTGTCCAAATCACTCTTGATTACGTTCTACTCTTGATGTCTGAGATTTTCTTGTCCTCATCTTCAGTTTAATATACTCCAGAGTGACAACTTTATCATTGTGCTTATGAAGGAGTAAGCACTGATTAGACTTAAGGGTGGTATGTAAATTCATTACGGTTTCAAAAAAGCCTCAAATTGAGTTAGCAGTTGTATCCAGAGTGGCTGACGATATGCAGAGAGAAGATTGTTGTGAGTCTACAAAACATACTCGTCCTTCTTGCCACTCCCCCGACAGAAAGAAACAAAATGCTCCAAGTTTCACAGGCTGAATTGTTATTATCTGTTCTACTTCATTGGAAGCAGCAGGAATAGCTTCACAAATCTTCAAGTACCATCCACATTCCAAAGACAAGCAAAGCAGTATTAAATGCTACACCACTTTTGCTATTTATTTTTAGGAAACAGACATCTAACCTGGTACCAACAAGGAATTAAAAGTCTGCAGTGCTACACCAGGATTATAAAATTATTCTAATAGATACATAAGGTTCTTTAAAACATATTTGCATCTTTCCTATTCCTCTCAAAGCAATGCCAAAAGGCTAGTGAAATTAAATGACTTACTGCAATATACACTTTCACTGAAAATTTAAGATCATTGCAGGATGCAGAGGTCACTAAATGCAAGTTTGGACTTGGGACAAACGAAACAAGAGCTTGTTCAACAGCTGCATGCTTTAAAGCTAAAGGAATTTGATTGCTTTAAATCACTCAGCTGTTAAACAAGCTCCTTGTCTCATGTATTTTCCAAGCTGCAGGGTAACCAGTGAAATACATTACATCAAAACCCAATTTTGCTAGTGGATTTTTGCATCAGTCATGAGCTAGGAGTGACAGATGTTTGACTTTTAGTTAAATTTAACCTTTTTAAGCTATATGAATTCAAATTGCAGAAAAAACCTACTGTGACCAAACAGATTCCCCAGGGCTCACATTTCTTCATAGAGTATGCTCTTCTTCCTTTATTAAGTTTTTCCTGATTTGTCTTTTGGGAGAGTTTGGTTAAACCCTCCAGTGCACTAAGAGCTAATACTTCACAGAGCTGCTTAGTGCAAGACAGTCTTTTGGGCAGTTACAGAAGCCCACAGCCAGAATGCTTCTTCACAACACTCTATCCTCATCCCAGATTTTGAAAAGGTCTCCCATATTCGTAAGATCAGCAGCAAATAGAACCACCATGGCCTGGTATTCACCAGAAAAGGATTGCAAGGAAGAAAGTTTGAATGCTTATAGTCTCCTCTCTATCCCTTCCAATATAAATTCTTTCAGAACTTCTTCACTCTTTACTTTGTCATCATAATCTGCAATAAAAGTTACCTTTGGAGACTTTGTGCTCTGTTAGTATTCCTGCTACTGCATTTCCCAGACTAGCTTCATCTTACACCCTGCTTTGGGTCTTGGGAGCACTTATTCAGAAGCACAAAGCATTTTATTTCTTTCAAGTGATTCTTTCTCTTGGGCTAGAATTTCACAACTGATTTACTCTGGGTTTAGACTGGACATACCAGTAAGAACTCCTGCAGTGGAGCCCAGGCAAAACAGGATGCTGCAGCATTTTTTTTTCTGGATACTGTCACTAGACACAAGTAAAAACACTCAGAAATAAGTACTACCTACTCCTTCACAAAGTAGAATACACTCTTGAACACAGGCAAAACAGGATGCTGCAGCATTTTTTTTCTGGATACTGTCACTAGATACAAGTAAAAACACTCAGAAATAAGTCCTACCTACTCCTGCACAAAGTAGAATACACTCTTGAACATGGAATACAGTAAAGTTTCTTAAACCCATTTTCTTTCACCGAAGGGTAACCTCTGTATCCACAACCCCTGCAAATCTGGCTTATTCCACATCTCGTATCTTAGAGAAACAGCCTCAGCTGCTTACAGCTTGCTCTGTTTCTGAGCAGGTCTGCAGGGACTGTCAGCTTTGCATTGACAAAAAAACCAAGTCAATGTTTCTCAGGTCACTCTCAAAGTTGCTCTTTTTTCTCCAACTGGTCCACCAAAGCCTAAAATATCCCACTCTGGACAGAACCAACCTCTTTCAATTTGAACTTCAAATAACTGCTTTGAAGCTGCATGTCTAAGGCTGTCTTATCTGCATCCCTATTTTACTTTTCCTACTCAGTACTTCTAACGTTCTCTTAAAAGCCTCTCTGGCTTTAACTCCATCTTCTCACAAACAGCAATGGAGAATTCAAGAAGGGAACCAAATGGCACAAGAGCCATAAAGAAAGCCAGCCATTTTCCCAGTTTGTGCTATAATAGTACTATATCCAGGACTTCGTTTTTCTCCTTTCTGCAGCAATTGATGACTGCTGAAAAAATCCTGACTAAATACACATGGCTGATTAGGATGGTTCTTTTTACCAGATGTCTGTCCCCTTCAGAAACTAAGTCAGGATGGTGAAAACATTCTCAGCTTGTCCATGGCTTCAGCCCAAAACGTAGTGGAAAGCACCATATGACAGCCACGGGGCTGGGGGGCTGGAAAGGAAGTAGAGAGGCAATACAGGGGAACGCCATGTTCCTTGAATAATTACCACTCACACCAGAGAGAGACCTGCCAGCCCACAGCTGTGACAAAAAGGCAAAGCACCAGGAGGAAGCTGGTGCTGATACTGTCAAAGGTTTTCTTTTTAACATAAGAGATTGTACTTGCCACTATAAGCAACACATTGTCAAATTAAAAGACAACACACACACAGAGTACGAGTATACATTTGCACACGTGTGTGCCTGTGCAGATGTTCTCCATAAAACTTTGTGTGCACCCACTCAAAACACACATAATTTTGAACACAGAGGGAAATGAGATTACCAGGAACAGATGACATGGAGATGGGAGGAGGTCTCTGGAGTGCTGCTGGGACTGGTTTCTTCTCTGTACTGTAAACAGCAGAATCTGGTTTCTCACTGGACACAGAGGGCCTGCAAAAGGATACGCTGCAGAGTGAGAGGCAGAGAACAGGAACTGCTGCCCGTCTTCAGAGGCTGTGCTGAAAAGTTCCTTGTGTTGCAAGCCTCCAGGAGACAAAAGCTTATCACCTGCAGAAATGAACTCAGACACTGAAGTGAGGTGACAGCCATGTAACTCTCCTTGTAACCATGGCAGCCAAAATTAAAAACTTACAGAGCAGTAAACCACAAGAAAGAGAAAGGAAGTGTTTTTCGAGACAGACTCACCGTAAACCTAAGCAGTAAGGAAATCACCGCGTTCCTCCTGAGCTAAGTCACCAGACTGTATGCAAGGTGGTACCTCTGGCTCTTCCCTGTCCTTCCTCCACAAAACCCTTAACTTTTACATGTCAGGGCTTCAGATTCACTTACACTGATTGCGAGTGTACTAGCAATCAGTTTGATAGCAACTGCATTTCTTAAATTTTGTTGGTTTTTTCCCCAGAGAGTAATTATTTTATTTTTCCTCATTGCTATAGAAGAGAGCACGCAACAGGACATGAGAAGACTACTGCTGCAACAAGAAACACTTTCATTTCTTAAATTTTGTTGGTTTTTTCCCCAAAGAGTAATTATTTTATTTTATTTTTCCACATTGCTATGGAAGAGAGCACACAACAGGACATGGGAAGACTACTGCTGCAACAAGAAACACTTCTAGATCCACACCCTTTGAGTTTTCTCATGAGCAAGCTCTCCCTTGTCTTTGTTGGAGCAACAGCCGCCTTTTTCTCTGCCAAGGAACCCTCACTAAAATTCTATTTAACAAATGACCCCTTTCCAGCAATAAAACCAATTTTGCTAGAGAATGTTGCAGAAATATCTGTTGCTCACTTACCTCTCCTCAAGGAGTACTGTACGTGCCAAGTGAGCCCTGAAAATGGACTGGATGAATGTCACAATCTCCTCTTCCTCCTTGCAATCAGCAGACAAGCTCAAGGAGTTTGACATGGAAGACACGCAGCAGTTCTGCAAAGCAATCAGATTAAAGAAAACTGACCTTTTGCAGAAGCTTTCACAATCTTACTCCTGATTGTGGAAGTGGTAATAGAGCAAATATTCCCATCTTTTGGGCTGCAGTCTTTAAGGTTCTATAAGACTAAATCAGCAGGAAATGCAAATCTGATCATCATACAAGCTTTGATGCATCTGTATTCAATTAGTTAAAGAGCAGACACCTGCAAGGAAAGGTCATTTATTTTCCAGGAAGAAAACCTTTTGAAGCTGGAGCTAAGGCAACCTTCATGATGGATATACCTTCTGCTTGCTCCAGGCAAAAGTGCACATTGGGCCAGTTTACTGAAAGAACACTGCATGTAAAGTACAACCAGATAGACAACCTGGATGGAGAATTACAAATTAACTTTAGCCTGTTAAAGGCCAAAGGATGTTCATATAAGCTGGCAAATGATTTGCAGAAACTAGATGTTTAATTGGTAGGGACATTTTTTCATATTCAGAACTGAGCAATCTGGAGTGAGTTTGATGTGACAGAGGACACCACGAGCCTTTGGTTCAGCACACAAGACTCTTTTACTTTTCAACCCAAAGATGCTTTCCAAATTCTTATTTCTCAACTTCAGTGACACAAGTTTGTCTATTACTACAATGATTGAGTAGTGAACTGCTGAGAGCAAGTACAGTTTTTAATAGCACTCTGAATTAAAGAGTTAAAGGGTATGTTATTAGCTGATGGGAGAACCAGAAAAAAAGAGCAGACCCAGTTACAGTCCATAATGCAGAGAAGTTGGAGCTTTAGTTCTAAGTAAAACTGTAAAGAAGATGAAAAGGCAGGCTAGGGAATGAGCTCGATGTCTTTCTGGAATTACAGTAGTGCCACCAACCAGTGCATTAAAACAACATCACCAGATGATTCAGAGAATTAAGTCTGGAAGTACAGCACTTTACACAGTAAACTAAACATAATAGGAGGCCTGGATACCCATTTGCCCCAATAATTACCTTCTTGTGAGATTTTGCATCGTGCACCCTGTTATTCAGTAACAGTTTCTGTCGAGCTAAATGTCCTCTGAAAGCTGCCTGAAGCATTACAACTGCCTAGAATGGGAAGAAAGATGTAGATATTAGCTCCTTCCAAAGATGGCAGCTGTAAATAAAAACAAGAGTCCAGAGGGAAGAGGCACATTGGGGGAATAACTTTTCCCCGTGCAATGGAAACTCTTTGATGTCTAGATATTTTCTTATGTTTAAGGGATACACGCACATCCCCATCACTTCACAGGTCCTCTGCTGCAATCCAGAGAATCCCCAGCCTGTGACAACCCATAGACATACACCTCCAGGGTTTAAATTCAATCTGGGAGGCATTTGTGATTGATCCTATCAAATGTAGTTAAGCTCTAGCTGCCAACACCAGCCTGTATTTCATGAACAGAGAAACATATTAGATTCTGGCTTCCCAGCAGGCTCTGGGATGCTCTGATACAACCAGAAATCAAGCCAAGTCTGGCGTACCACAGTGGTGATTATGCTGAACATAAGTCTTTCCTCTCTACTTGGAGATTTTACTGGTTTCTAATCAATAAAAGCATCTAGACATAAAGCAGTATGTTTGCATCACATGGTTAGAATTTGTTCTAATTTATGAAAGTAGGATTTTTAATGTTCTGGAAAGAAACAAATGTAAGATGCTATGTCGTGCTATTTGAAAAAGCAGCTTCATCAAAACCTCTGTGCAAAACATTTATCAAAAAGTGACAAGTTTGTCAGTTTCTTCATAATACTCAGAGATGTTTCTTCTTAACAAAGGCTTCAAGTTCCTACTACAAATCTTTCTGAAGACTCATCGTAGTGAAAATGAAAGCACCATTAAAATTACCTAACATAGAAAATCCTTCCTGCTTGTATCAAATTTTGTTCAAAATTTTCGGAAGCATTCACCTTGCAGAAGGTACCAAGTATAGAAAATTTTGGGCCAAAAGGGGAATACTTGTATATATATCAAAGAAACCCAGGATGTGGGAAGGGAGATCATGAGCCAGCCTGAAGAATAAACACAATCTTGGTATAACAGCTCATATTACAATAAAATCTCTTTAAAAATAAATAAGTTATTTGTTTGTGCTTTGACACAAATTAAATGCGCTTTACTGTCCTATTGGGTGTCATAAACACACTCACCTCATCCAGAGCAATTTCTTCCTTCTGAAATGAAAAATGCCAAGTTAATGCCACAAACATATACAAGTCTTATCTTATGAAGATTTTTCCAAATTTTTCCCAACAATTAAAATGCACAGAAGAACTTGTCCCACCTCTTCCTGAAAACTCAAACAACTTAAGGGAAAAAAACCAAGTCTTTTCATCTTTGAAAAGTGTGTGGATAATTCTTTTGTCTTAAATTTCCTAAGAAGCATTTACAGTGCCCACCTTACACCATATGACCTATATGTGGAAAAAGTAGCATTATGTTGTTGCCCATAGAACAAAATTTAAGGTTAAGGCTTTTTTTTTCTACATCATTATGTCCTAGTTGAGTTTCACTCAATACAAAAAACTTCCTGTACTGTTTGAAGGATTTCTGCAAGGCAAATTCAGCTTCTCAGTTATATTCCAAGGAAGCACCAGCAGCAGTGCTGCTTCTAACACTGATATGCTTCCTTAGTTCTCTGCTCACCCAGTTTCTGAATGGGGGAGTCTGGGTATCTTTCAGCAGAAACAACAGGGTTTGGGGGAGCAAAGGCAAAAGAAACAGCAGGGAGGACTTGAAAAAAGCAGTGGAAGAGAAGATGATGGTAAGGAATCATACTGGGAAGCCCTGCTGCAGTTCTGGCAGCAGGTTACTGTAGATGCTAAAAGTAAGAGTAAGATTCAGAGAGGGAAGTTCCTCACTATTCCCCAACAGGAGAATCTCACCTTCTTTCGGAACATCTTCCATTGTTTCTGGATGATTTTGGCTGCTTGTTCCTTCCTGTGATCTTCTTTACCTTTAACCACGCAGACAGGTGAAGTCTGCAAAGGAGAATCTTTAACTTAGTATTCTAAAGGCACAAACTTGGAATTCTATGAGCAACCAGGTTACAAATGACTCAGAAAAATCAACCAGAGTTGTTAACTGTCCACCCTGCCTCATCCTGGCAACTGTGGCCCCATAATCATCTGTTTAAGCTTAGTGAGGAGCTGGCCATCAAATGACACTGACAAGATGGAGACCTTGTGTAAATCGGCCTACCTCTACTCTTCTCTCTTGAAGAAATTAACTAAAGGAAAAAGAAAGAAACCAAGTACAAACCAAGATTTTTTTTCCCAGTTATTTCTTCTGAGGTGTGGCTGCATATTCCACTTCTCACCGTCTGATCCTTTTGATCCCTAATTATCCCACACTAATTGTCATACCTCACTTGCCAAGCAAAAGTTAACTGCAATTTTAAAAGACTAATTCAATTTGTTGGTGTAAAGTTTTAAGTAGAGGAACAGGAGATTTTATAGACTCTGAAAAAAGCCTCTTGATTCTGTGAAAAGGATTTATTTATAACCTAAAAACGCTGAGTTACAGGCTTAAGTTTAGCAAATGGATCATGTTATATTAAAAATGACAACCTACTATTAACATGAAAAATTGGTAGGAACTCAGTGATAATTACAAATAATGGGAACATTTCAATAAATGGATGGTTACTGGCCAAGAATATATATAGTCTGCAAAGGAAAAAAGGAGCTATTTGTTGGATGTTTTTAAAGACTCAAGTTATTTGGTATTCAAAACATCATCTAGCATCCATCAGCCTATAACACACATAAAAGAATCTAAAGAACTGCACAGTATATCAAAAACCAGCACCCTCTTAAGCCAGAGGACATTTTTATTCATATCTTTTACTACCTGTATTTCAAGGTCTATTTATTTTTAAGTACAAATGATCAAAATCCCCAGTAATAATTTTCAACCAGCTCTTAGTGAAATGAGATTAACATGACCGCGCTGCATCGGGAAGCACGTTTGTCAGTGCCCATTCATCTCTTCTGGCCAGTTACAACAAGGTTTGGCAGAGCAGCAGAAGATTGCAAAGATATCAAATTCAGTCATATTTCACAAAAAACCCTGACCGATTACAGAGCCCCATTTAAGACTGTCCAGGGTTAACAGATGCACAATTATATTTATATTTTTTGTCTTTTGCCTGTCTGCCAGTGAGCACACTTACCTCTGTCTCTATCCTTTTTCTGCCAACTCCTTCAAGACCTCTCTCCCTCTACAAAATTGGACTGCAATTAGCTAATGGGTTCAGATATTACAAGAAGATACAAGCAAAACAACAAATGTTGAGGCACTTTTTCTTAAAAAGTAAGGCAAAAAACCCCAAACACTTAGAAGTGTAAGCTTTTTGCAACATTCCACTGAACAAGAAAAAAAATGAAGGTTGGGTGGATAATGACTAAGAGAACAGCTCAAAAAACCCCCAAGTTGCAGTGGTAATTATTGAAACAACCTATCAACAAACACTGGGAATTAACTAACATTCAGAATCTCTATGACAAGATTTAATGACCCTCTGAAAACACACAACTAGCAGCTATTTAAATTATCAGCTTAATTTGCAATATATTACTTAGATGCAAGGGAAAAAAACCACAACAAAACAAACAAGTAAAAACATGTCTGTACCTTACTAAGCTTTTCCATTGTATCTTCTGCCATTTGTCTTTTCTCTTCCTCCAATTTTGACTCCAACTTCCCTACTTTCTGGGTCAGGTTCTCAGTTTCCTCGCTATGGTTGGAAAAGCAAAGATATTTATAGCTGAAACTTTTCTGTTGTTCCTGCTTTGAATATACTGAACCTACTTCATAATATTTGGTTGCTTTGGTTTTTTTAAAGGCCAAACTGGGAAACTGCTCAGATTAACATGATACATGTTCTCATAGTAACAGACACGGAACATCAATTCTTAAGTTGTGATAGCACAGCTTTATAGTTAACATTTGGAGAAAAGAAGAGAAAAAAAACCCTCAAGGTTACAAAGGTACCCTTGGTACTATTAATAATGCATCTACATCTGACTGACATATATGAAACTGTAGCAAAGTCCTTTCTTACAAAGCAATAATGAAATCACTAAATCACCTTTCCCCCCAGCCCTTGCACAGGATTATTGTCAGCACTCATACAGAATACATGAAGTAAATAGAATGACATTGGCAGGGGTTTAGAAGTGTAGGCTAAGGTAAGGTAAAGATACTAAGGTTTTTCCTTAGAAAGAAAAAACATCTCTGAGACCAACGTGGCAGCTTTCTTTTTCCATTTATCTTATTAGTTTTTATTACGATCTATACTTCTTAGTCTTCCACTTCCTCTAAAACCACTCTATAGAATTCTTCTCCTAGTAACTTACTCCATCCCTCCAAAACAGTTCTGCTTAAATGAATTCCCAGCTTCCTGCAGTTCAGATGAACTCCTGTGGATTTTTATCCACTTCAAAACAGAATTATACTTCAACAGATTGATTTTGTTTCTGAAAGGATTTACTAATACAAAATATGATACCTTAAAGTCTGCTCTTCTGTACTCTTTTCTTCCTTTTTATTCTGCCACTTCTGCAGCTCCAGCTCCACGTCAGCCTTAGCCTGCAGTAACTGCTGGATATCTAACCTATACAGGTATAAGAAAATTAAGCAATACTGAAGACATTCATACTTCAACAAAGTAGTTATTTTTTGTTTAGACTTCTAAAGAAAATAGGTTCTCTCTACTTTGTAAAGTAACTAAATGTTTCATTTTTCCTTTTATACAAAACTAAATGCAAGCATATGTTGTTCAGAAGCAAAAGGCCTCTTTGCACACTCTCACTAATGCCTTTTTGTCCAGAGGCGAGTTGACCCAGGAGGTGGCATCTTACCAACACCATGTAGTTGTGTGCACATCTCCCATGTGATCAGATGCACTGACACACCAAAAAAGTGCAAGAAATACAAACTGCAAATGGATTGCTTACTGAGGAGAAGTCACAGTGCATCCTATGCAGAAGACAGGCTTAAACGAAGAAAGTGGTAGATCAGGAAAAAACACGTTGAAAAGGGGTGACTAATTTTTACAGTAAAATGCTTTCAAGAAGTGCTGTGTGAAACGACATATAACCCTTCAAAAGCTTTTCAGTGGGGTTGGAAAAAAAATATGCCTTGAAAAATGTGTTAGAAATAAGCAGAAATTCTCATTTTCCATCCTCTCACTGACATTTTATTCCTGCAATTTAATTTTAAAATGCTAGTAGGACTAGAAGAAGCTTTTGAAATAAAAGCTAAAGGGTCCCTCAAAATTTGTTGTCTTGCTGACAATGTGAAGGACTTATTACAATGTTTCATAAAGTGACAGGAAACAATTATTAATTCACACCTACAAAAGAACAACACCTCAGACAACAGTCGTGCTTACTCTTTATTGAGCAGGAGATTTTGAAGTGCCTTCTTATCACTCTTCAGTTTCTTCACTAGCCTTTGGAGGCGACGACATTCCTCACCATGGTCTACCTGTTGAGGGTCAGCATGATCCAGGTCTAGAGAAGGCGAAGATGACACAGCAAGTAACTGTGAAGATTCACTGTCTGCTGATGACACCCTGGTGTTCTCCATGGCACATATTTTCTAAACAGGACGAATTTACACACACAAAAAAAAAAGCAAAAGAAAAAAGAAGAAAATTAAATTTAGCATAAAATGATTTTACATAAGTCATGAGAAAAACATCAAATGGACGTTAATTCTAAAATGTCCATTTATATGTAACAAGTATGAGAAAACAAAAAAGGGAGGAAGGGTACAAACATCAGTTTACATGCATAAGCCAGAATGCACAAGGCTGATCTGTTGAAACACTACGACAGGAGCAAGAGCAAGTGGTTCTGCATTTTCTGCTCAGAGACAGGTAAGACAGCCACAAGATTATGATCACTTACTTTTTCTAGTTCCGAAATCCGCCTCACCAGCCTCTGTCTGCTCCACTCACTGTAATCTAAGCACAATAGAAAACTTTAAACATGAAACTCTATCAGTGAGTCAACATTGTTGTTGCTTTTAGGAGCTTCTGTCCATATAGAAAGACAATCTGAACCCCACCTTTAAATATGCAGCCATGAAAAAATGAGAATGGTCCTCAAATATCTGACTCCTACACCAATGAGCTCAGAAATCAACATAAACCATTCACATTCATCAGTGTCAACAACTGAAAAACAGTTTTCCAGTGACATATTAAATCTTCAAGTGACTCCAGTCCAGAATTCTCAGGGATAAAAGGCAACTCAGGTCTGACTGGAGCCGCATACCCAGAAGTCAGAGAGAGCCTCCTGTAAGAAACCTCTCATTCCATTTTGCCCCTCCTGCATCTTCACCTTTGTAGTAACCCCCTTATTCCTACCACTGTACGGTCCTGCTCTCAAACACATCCTCCAAATGTGTCTAAATCTCTTGCCCCACGTTCACCAACTTTTCAGCACGTACTTTTTGTTTTATTGGAAGGAGGAGAACTGCTCAGTACATGATCTAGATCTTCTTTCAGCCTCCGATTCTCATTCTGCAGTTCCTTGATGTTCCTAGATAACCTCAGGACAGCAGCATTCAGTGCCTTTAGTCGTTTCTGGGTATCTCTGCCCTCTGTACTTGGAAACAGGGTCAAAACCAGAAAGTTAACTTAAAAGCAGAGAACAAAGCAGCAGCACTAAAAAGAGTGGAAGAGCCTCACCATTCAGGTCGCCTGGCTAAGTTAACAGCCTCAGCTCCCCCCAGTAGCATTTTCTCAACATTTGTTACTTGAGGAAATATCTATTCTTTTAGGAAAAAAAACATGCAAAGACCATCTTGCTCAACACTCCCACAATTCTTTTAATTTGCATCAAAGAAAAAAGATTCTTCGCAAGTTCATTTATTCCTTTTACTTCCTCCCACACTCTGTTTTATTAATGCATAAACAAGAGTGCTTGTATGAGTTTTATTTATTTGGTTTTCTATTTGTTTTGTTAACCAACCTTATAATACTTTACCAGTGCTCTACGGACCACTCATTTAAAAGCACTCTTCAGCCAACTGGGAGATTCCTCCCAAAACCTGTTCAGCACAGCAAGCTAACCTGTGTGCTCTGAATTGCTTTCTTTCACTTAACAAACAGATGGAGATTGGAAGAGAGAGGGCTATAGATAGATGGAGTAACTCTCAAATAAATCCAACACACAAGTGTATTTTCAGATAACTGTGAATGCTGCTCTAATCTAAAAGAAACTATTCCTGGGAAAGTAAACCCCAGAGAAATTTCTTTCCTCATTTAAGATACATTTCAATCAATGAGAGATCTGAAACAGATTTGAAGAATACAGCTAACATCGATGTGATGGGAATAAAAGGCACGAGGAAAGGAAAAGCCTGCTATGTGTTAAAGGCTAACATCGATGTGATGGGAATAAAAGGCATGAGAAAAGGGAAAGCCTGCTATGTGTTAAAGCTGTTTTAAATATATCACAGTGATTTAGCCTTTTTAATTTTTCCAATAAAAAGGAGAAGAAATCTTAGCTTTTACACATACAGAGTTGTAAAGTTTCTTCACAAAACATTTCTAGAGAGATAAAATGCTTGTTATGAGAAATTTCCTAAAAGCTTATATTTGGAAACAAAAGTCTGAAGTAACTGATGGACCTGCTTTTGGACAGATGCCACTGCTAATGACAACCACAGAACAGTTTGTGAAGGAATCTTATATCCCATCCACTGGAATAATTACAAGGTAAAGGGGCAGATAGCATACAATTAGCATACCAGAGTGAAAAGCTGAATCTAATCTACCTTTTGGAAATTAAAAGGAAATGAAGCCATAAAAGCCAAACAAATCAGGCTGTCCAGATGTCATGGATGACTGACTATTCATACAGCTGTCCCAGGCTGGAGGAAAAAAAATAAAACCCAAAACAAAATACACTCCCAAAAATGGGAAGTAAGAGAAATGATAGAAATCATAACTGCCTCACTGACTGCTATTATTTTAGGCTCATCAAAACCTAAATGACAGAACTGCAAACCGTTTTGAGGACTTGAAATGTTGCCTAGTTTCTAGCTACAATTGGATACTACAGCTTTACATATAAATAATCATATTTCGTTGTTAACACTGAAAAAGAGGAGCTAGATGTCATTCACTTCAGCCAGAAATAACATAGACAAGCATCACGAAAGAAACACTCTCCTACAACTCTTTCCACATGCCCAAGTCCTGACCTTCAACACCATTTATTACTTCAGTGCTCAGCCTCTCAAGGAGAGACTGACAGTCATGTAATGGAGAGAGACTGCCCTCACCACTGCTTTTTTGAAGCTATGAATAAATGAGGACAAGGAAGAGACCTGATGACTCATTTTCACCTATAAATAAATTAGGTGTGATGGCTTACCGCCTCAAGAGGCTACTCACTGCATGCCTCAGACAAAAGAGATTATTTATTTTTTTTTTTAAAACAGTGACAAAACAAATTGCAGTTTTCAATCCACAAGGGATCGTGAATTAGGGAAACCCAAGTAGAACACATAATGAGCCATAAAGGGTCCTCATATGTTTCTATCAATCTAAATAATTAAACCCAAAATTAAGATAGTTCCCTGTACTCAAGACTAGAAGGGCAAGAGTATATTGAAGTGGTGCAGTAACAAGTTTTCCTGTCCCATAAGACTCTCTTGCATCGTCGCTTTTAATTTTCTCTCTTACTGGAGCTTTGTCTTTTGCCTTTGTGCTTTGATTTTTATTTCCTCTATAGACTGTTTACCCTCACGGCCATGTATACACCTGCACACTAGTGACAAGTGCTAGTACAAGCTTCTCTGACAGACTCTTACTGGTGCCACTCATAGATACCTCACAAAAGCTCCCCTGACCTGCAGATCTCTTTCTACCACAGGAAAATGTTTACTCCGAAACACCTTCTTTGCAGCAAGATACAGAACTGACTCAAGAGTAAAATGCCAAACTTTCAGTGAGTTTGTTTCAATCACCAGTGATGTCAGAATAGGTGTGATTATGGGGGAAGATGAATCTTATTTAACAGAGATAATTTTTCAGAGCTTTCACATACTTTTTAAATAGCTCTAGTACTTTCTCAACATCCACAAAATGATCTATCTACAAGAAATAAACCATGACTAAGACTTATGCCAAGGCTGCGAAGAGCCAACCAAAGCAGTATATCCACAAAATGATCTATCTACAAGAAATAAGCCATGACTAAGACATATGCCAAGGCTGCGAAGCCAACCAAAGCAGTACCAAAAAGTAAATCCAGCAATCTAAATGATGGAATAAACTGTTCCCATGCCGTTGTTTCTGTAAGTTAAAGTAGTATATGAGTGATACATCAAACACATATACACAAACATTTGCCTCAAAAGAATTAAACATACTTTTTCCTCATAGTCTCAGATTTTGCCAGCAGGAGTTGGAGACGATGAACCTGTGAAATATGAAATATAGATTCCATTAAGGAGCTACCTGTGGAAGCTGACATTGCAAATACAACACATTTGTCCATTGGGTCAAAAATCACAACAGGACTTTTTGGGTAGCAGTGGAGGTAACGATGCCATCACTGAAAATCAGGGTACTGGTATATTGGTTTTCATCTAGACACTTATGGATTAGTTTCTTTATTTCCATTTTTTTCATTAGCACACTCAACCTACTGAAGAAAAGAGTTTTTTCAGTGCATATATTTGGAGAAATGAGAATATCTATAAAAATCTGATTCCAATGACAGGTGGAGCTAAGCTATAAGAAACTTCTCTAAAACATCTCATTTATACTTTGGCTCAATAACTGAACAACTACCACTCCTGTATGAACGTTGAAGGACCCATCAGACGTACCTCTTCATAGTAGGTTTCCATAGCTAACCTCATTTCTTCCAAATTAGTGGTTTTCATGTCTGCCTGGAACTTACTGAAAATAGAATAATACAAAAAATAATTTAGTCAGACCAGAAGAGCACTGCAAAACCTGTTGGTTGAAAATTGCTAATATGTTCTAGGAGTTCATTAAAATAGCTTAAGGAACAGAAGAATACAGATGAAAAATAACATGGATTTCAAATTCCCTTTACTATCTCATCCAATACAAGCCTCTACCTCCCCAAAGTCATACTTAATAGTGTTGTCTTTTTCCTTGCACTGTTGTTCTAGCTTGAAAATCTTCTGCTTTAATCCACTCACCACCTACAGAGAGAACAAAGACCTCATGAGTCCCAGAATAATCCATCTCTTCACAGAAATTACATTTCTCCATTGTCATGCCCTGTCTTTATAAATTGTACCTAATCAGATATATTTATTCATACATACTTCAGTACCTAGTAAACCATACACGTCTGCTACCCTGTGACAAAGGGAACACCACAGATATCAGATTCCTAACTTGTATCTGTGGTAACATAATCACCTTAATGGTATTTATACACAATCACTAAATAAAAACAACTTTCCCTGCTAAATTCAAGCAAATAATAGGGAGAATGGTTCCTAAACAGATTCAAGACAATGACATAGAAGGCTCCCTAAAATAATGTTCATCCCAGATCTTTGTTACTGGTCCCTTATCTGATGATAGAAACAATGGTTACATGATTCCCTAATTGCTTATTCTTTCTTACTTCATTTTATTTTTTTTTATTCAGTAGTGTTTCAGCTTGGCAAGAGAAAAGAAGGAAAAATGAAAGCAAAAGGTAATGAAGTAACTATTACCCATCCATTATCAGTCTTCTTTTCTGACAAAGCTCGTGCCAGCTCAGAGCCCTGAAAGGTAAGACAGATAAAGCAAGTGACCAACCTTGCTGCTTTGTTCTACTGCCAGCTCTTCCCACACAATTTTCTACCCTGCTCATCTCCACAGTCATTTCACAGTCCAACAGCTTAAGTTCTGAAGTCCCTATGCTCGTTGTCTTACATTAGCACGTTTCTCCCAAGATGCAGATCTGCATGCAGAAAGTGACAGCCACAAGGAATTCAGTGAAATTCAGGTCTTCTATGACCCTAAATGCTTCTCAGCCTGGTGGGTCTGACAATAAAGCTCATCTTTCGCTTTCTGGTTCATGTCTCAGGACCACATGCATCAGTTGCCATGCAGTAGGTTAATTCCCTTCTACTCTCAGGCAAAATATTCAGAAAGTGGGCCTCTGAAGAGACAGCATTTTAATTTTACTTTCAGAAATTAAAACTATCTTTGCTAAATAAACTTATCAACATGGCATGGCATGATCTCCCTTTGAACAGAGGCCGGACTGGTAAGCTGAGATACACAAACCAGAAATCCCTTCATACCAACTAAACAGTTCCCATATTCAAGCTCATCATTCCTAGGAGCCAACACACTACAGACTCCTGAAATCTAGAGAGACAGGAGAAGAGGATCACACCACTCGGCACTCTTTTGCTCCACTTGTATCCCCCCCAAGAAATAGTCACCCTGGAAGGATCCAACAGTTGTTCAATCTGTTTATCCTTTCTATTGTTCTCTTCTTCTAGTCGACGGAGCTTAGTTTTCATTCGATCTCCCTCATTTTTCTGAGCTTGTATTGTCTAAAAGAGGGGAGGAAAATTGTAAGCATGTTTCAGAAATAGAAACACACTGAGTTTTCACATGGAAACACATTTTGATGTCAATAACAATCCAATTACAATGGTGACGATGAAGCAAAAGGAAAAAACAACCGAAACAGACCATCAGGCTGGATCAGGACTGACAGACAAGGGAGGTGACAAGGCAAAGATCAAAGTAAAAGGTTTAACAGAGGCAACCTTACACAAATGATCTACAACAAGATATTTGTCTGTATGTATCCCTAGTGTTCAACATGCCCAGTCCTCACCTTTCATACACTGCACTAAACTCAACTGGGAAATTGTTAAAATGTGAGGGGGAAAAAAACCAAAAAGGCAATGGAGGGACAGAGAAACCAAATGCAATGAACCTTTTCAGTGTCCAGCTAGGGCCATGGCTGGGGTTCAGGACTGGGATTACTTCAAGGCTTCCACATCCAGTACTCAGAAGTATCTATCACACCATAAACGCAATGAAATTGCCTTAAACAGACACAAGTTTAGTTTAGCCTTACATAACAAACGTAAAAATTTGGTGGACGTCCCAGTTGTAGAAACCAAAGTATTTTGAACCAACAAGGCCCTGACATCTACAGGTGGATGGAGGGACCCTGTGACTTTGTATGTAAATACCAGAGAGACTGTACCTTTTTTAGTTCTATAATTTCATCATACATATCTTCTTTTTCTTTGTAGTTGGGAGTTCCAGGAATGTAGCCTACGGAAAAAGATACGTGAAATACGCAGGTCTGAAAGAGGTATTTTGAACTAATCAGAAATCTTACAGTTAAAGCAAAATATTTAGGACAGCACCAAACTAGGATTTCAATCAATCAGCAGGGAAATTAACTTTAGAAATGGAGGCAAAATGGAGATGTCATCGCATGAAACTTCTGCCAGGTTTTACAGAAAATTTCTCCTAATTACTTCTCTTTGCTCTGGTGCTAGATTAAAATAACCATCTCAAGAAAGATATACACTCCACAGAAGACTAAGTATTCTCTTTTCAACAAATCAATTGTTTACAAAAGATTTCTAAAGTATGTACAGAATACATTTTTCTAATAACACCTAACCTGTAAAAGTCTATCATCTTTTAAAGTTGCCAGAAGCTGTGTAATACCAGTAACAGTACAAATATCATTTTAAATGGAAGTAGGATTTTGCAGTTTACAGTTCTCCTTTAAGAAAAGCAGGATGAAAGTTTTACATTTTGCTCTTCTCATAAAACTCAATTGATTTTAACATCACAACCACACGATAAAACACTTTCTAGAGAAGAAGTAAAAGGAGTCAATTACATAGAATTTCAGGCAAGCAGATGGTTTCTATCAATGGTTCCTAAACTATGTTTTGCAAAGTCACAATAAATTGTCTACAGCTGGCCCATTGAACCATATTATATTTGCAACGTTTTCAGCTGCAAATGCATGGCAATTTGCAAAAAGTTCTGAAAGCTAATAGTGACTCATTGCTCAAAAAATTTGGAAACCCCTTTCCTAACCAATTTAGAAATCTCAAAAAGTATCTCATGGATCATATTTTGACACATATATTTTAATACAGACTAAACTGAAATGGCTCTTGCTTTACTGAAGCTGAGATCTTAAGCAATGTGTGTTTTTACATGGAAAAAAGATCATTAACCGTTATCTACTACACCATTACATAGTTTACCATTACTAGAAGAACGAGAATGTTTTGGCTTCTTCATTCCTAGAGCTTCCTTCAAATACTCCGGAGTGCTACTAGAAATGTTAGTTCGCATATGCCCCATGTCAACATCTGATTTCAGAGAATGGCTCATTCCTGCCAACAAAAATGGAACACAAATGCAAAAATCAGGGATAATTGTGAATTAAATTTGCGGATTTATTCTGAGCAAACGCAACGTAGAAAGCTCCAGATGCTGTTAATTATTCCCTCTATAAATTCCAATGCTCAAGATCAGATAATTCCAACCACCCAAATAAATAATAGTGAAATTACTTCCTGTGGAGCCTATAATCAAATACAAATCTATTTTTTAAGAGTTTATATGTTAAGCTGTCCACAACACTGAATTTTATCCACATATGTGGATAAAGTTTCTATACTAATACCTTGTTTCAGTGATCCCAGCCACATCTGCCTTGGGTTTTTTACAGCTGTGCTCTCGGGACGTGCACAGCCTGTTCCCTGCAGAGATCGCCAAACTGCAGCTTTTTTAGGATACAGTTGTGTGCTAGAGCTGTATGGAGACTCTAAAAGAAAAGAAAATATCTCAGCATTCCCTGAAAAAGCTCAAGGTCACAAAAATTCTGTCTTGTGCTTCACAGTTCCCAGACACTGTCCTGTTACTTAAAAAAACCAGAATTTAACAGCATATTACTGCTCATGCAGAGCAACGGGACATTCACCTAAAAACCAAAAATGAGGATAAAGAACAGAGCAACGGGACATTCACCTAAAAACCAAGAATGAGGATAAAGAAAAAATCCAATTCCAGAAAATGAAAAGGCTTAGAAAGAGGCATAACGACAGTGATATGATTCAATGCATGTAGAAATATTTACATGTACAGCTTGGATAGGCAACCTTAAGGTATCTGCATCTCTAAATTCATCCATTAAATTGACCTTTCAATGACTATATGCACAAATGTTCTGTCAATGAGAAAAATAAGCATAGTTAAACAGACAAGTAACTTTATAGCTGCTAATCCACTACCATATTTAGCCTATAAAAGTCTAACTTCACAGGTTACAGAATGAATCTCAGAAAGGTGTGTTCTGCACACACCAGTGAATAATCCTAAAGAGAACAAGAAGTTGTTGTTTCAAGTAAATCTTCCAGTTCCTGTGTCCCACAAACCTACCTTGTTCTGCAACATTGGAAACAGAAGAAAAAAATTTGGAACACTTACTTGGTGACTTTGGAGGCTTGTGAAAAATTTTCTTCTTTAGCTTCTGGAAGAGAAAAAGAATTTTTTTAATGTATTTAAAATATTGCACTCTTGAGAGATTTCGGCATATAATTGGCTTCAATCTCCAACTTGTATAAAGAGCACTTGTTCTAACAACACAATCTTCTGTGTAGAAAACAAAAATAGCAGCATTAAGCATATGCAGATTTGGCCACAGCAACAGTCACCAGAATTAAGGTGATGCCTACTGAAGTTTTATGCTACAAAGTAGTTTACTCATGCTCAGAACACTACGACCTTCCCCATCAGTATTAAATACAAGTAGCAGCAAATTCAAGATGATCACAGAGTAGAGGCTGATCTATAGAACCATTTAGCTAAAGGAAAGTCTTATTCAATTCCATTAAAACTCTGTAAAAGGATTACTTAGGTCCGTAACTTGATAAAACAGCAAAATGAAGCCAAACATCATTTGCAGCCCCCAGTGCTGAGAATTTAGAAGCGAGAAGTACATCTAGAATTATAGGGGGTTTTTGAATCAAACTACGCTGCAGTAACAGTGTTAGCTCTCCTCTCTGAAGGGCATCTTATCGACCAGGAGGCATCACGTGGATGTAGAGTGTGCAAGAACATGCTGGGAGGCTGTCTAAGGCATTCACCCGCAGCACGCCATTAATAAAACTCACCATTTCTGTGTCTGATTCACAGGTTATCACAGACATGCTGTCATCTCCCTGGGAAATAGAGACATTAACTGTGACATTTGCTACTAAATAACTGGTTACAATACGCTTCCAGAAAACTTTACATCCTGTTACTCAAACGAAGTTTGAGTGCAATAAATTAAAATGGTAAATGTGTCACCACTGTTGCAAAAACCAGCATCGTTTGCTCTAACGCAGACATTCAGTGTGACAGGGTGCAAGTGGCTTCATACTCGAGCCACAGAGACTTATGTACTGCAGTGCACAGCATTACAACAGTTGAACCCTTGGGTGTCCCATCTTTCATGCTGCTGGTTCTGCATGAATTTCTCCACCAGTAGGAGTTAAGCAGCAACTCATCCCTCTGTCCCCTTCCTCACTTACTCGTTCCTACCCTTGCTATGCTGTGGGAACATCCAGTAAACTCGACTAGAGAAGTGTCTGGAGACAGAGCGGGTAAAAGCGGCTGAGACCAAGCAGGTATACTTTTCACACACCGTGCTGTATATTTTTTAATTTCCTGAGGCAGTGATCCTTGCAGCACACTGATTATTTTTGTTGTTTTAAGGCCTGTTTATCACTCTGGGAAATCTGTCTGCAGCTATTGCATTAGGAATAGGAGAACATGGAAAGTGCCCAGGCTTGATAGGAGATGGTAAACAACAAGATGTTCACCAGGATATAAGTGTGCAATAACAAAAACACTGCAGTCCTTAGAAACCTTCACAGACCCTTTGCGTTTACAAAACAGGCCCAACAAAAGCCACTTATGACACACAACAGAGTGGGTCCCAGCAAAAGGCATCAAAACCACCTGAAAGGGCTGCTGAAAGGGGCCGAAACGAACGCGAACACACCATCCCCATCCCCACACCATGCTACCAGCCGGCCAAGGAGACACAGGCAGAACTCAGAATCCCACAGACTAGAGACGGACGAAGCCGTCCTCCTCCCCCTCCTAGCCACCGCCTCGCCGGCCTGCCGAGCCTGAGGGGGCTCAAGGCAGGAGGGTTTCCCGGTACGGGCCTGGGCTGGGACAGGCCCGGGGCCTCCGCCTCCTCCTCCCCACCGCCCACTCCTTACCAGCTCCCCGTCCGCGGCCGCCTCACCGCCCCCCCGGGCCATGGCGGGAGGGTGACGGGGAGCCCTTAATAGGTGGCGGGGCGGCGGGGGCCACCTCGGGCCATGGCGCCCGGTTCGGGGCAGGGGGCGGCCGCGGCGGCCCGGGCTGAGGGCCTGCCTTCCCCCTGGCGGCACTTCCGGGTTGCGGTAACCATGGCAACCAGCCGCTCGGCGGCGGCGGCGCCTGCGCAGAGTGACGGGGGCGGGGAGCGCGGGGAGGCCGCACCGGCAGCGGTTCCGCCGCCGCCTGAGGGCACAGCCGGGCGGGTCTCGGCCTTGCCGCGGAACGCGAGTGCCGCCAAGCGGCCCCGGAGAGGCAGGGAACCCCGGCGGGCTGCGGAGGAGCGGGGCCGACTCCTCTCCGCCGCCTCCCGAGCGCCACGCCCCCGCCTTTGCGACACTCGCTTTGCGGCCGCGGCCGGTGAGGGGTGTGTGTGTGGGGGGGGGGTGTCTCCCGGTTCCGCCACCGGCCCCCACCATGTCTGACCCGGGCCCGGGATTATCCGCCCAGAAGTCGTGGTACATCGCCCGGGCCCGCCACCGCTTCGCCATGAGCCGCGAGTGCGCCCTCCTGCTGCCCCGCGTCTGCGCCGCCCTGGCCGACCCGCGGCAGCCCGGCTCCGACGACACCTGCCTGGAGAAGCTGCTGGACTGGTTCCGGACCCTGACGGAGTTCGGTGAGTGTCCGCCCCTTGCAGGGCCCTCCCCGGCCCCGGTGAGCGGCAGGGGTTTGTCCGGGGGGTAGGGAGGCCGGGGGCGCTGGGGGAGGCCTCCCTCAGAGGTGCTCGGTGACACCTGGACAGGCTGTTTGGGGCCACCGCTTCGCCATGAGCCGCGAGTGCGCCCTCCTGCTGCCCCGCGTCTGCGCCGCCCTGGCCGACCCGCGGCAGCCCGGCTCCGACGACACCTGCCTGGAGAAGCTGCTGGACTGGTTCCGGACCCTGACGGAGTTCGGTGAGTGTCCGCCCCTTGCAGGGCCCTCCCCGGCCCCGGTGAGCGGCAGGGGTTTGTCCGGGGGGTAGGGAGGCCGGGGGCGCTGGGGGAGGCCTCCCTCAGAGGTGCTCCCCTGGACAGGCTGTTTGGTACTTGAGGCCTGTCCCTGGGCTCGGGCCTCAGGTGAACGGAAATTCCTCCCTGTCAGTTGTGGGGGGTTACACTGAGCTCAGGCAATCACCTTAGAGTTAAGAGAGAGGGTTGTGGTTTGGGCTGGACTGGCTGCTGCATGAAGGGCAGATGCTCTCTAAGGCACTAACAGTCACCCCCTGTTTTCTGGCCTCTCCTTGGGCGATACCTCATCTCTAGATCCTGATGTGAAACTGGTGCAGGACAACCCCTGTCTGACAGAGTTCTTCACCTCCGTGCTGGCGCTGCCAGAGCCCAGTCCGAGCATCCTCTCCTTCACTCTGAGGTTAGCTGGGATACTTGCCGCTTCCGAAAGCCGCTTCCAACACTTGCAGGTGAGTTGGCTACCCAGGTACCTGCTGCCACGTGTCTGTTTCCTCCTTCTATGTGGAGGACACCTGAAAATGTATGGATTCTGCTTATAAAATTTCTGGCATACATCAAACAACTCAGCAAACAGTGATATGAGAATGAAGGCATAAAATCATACCATTCCTTTTCCGTTCTCATGTAAATCTGCTGTTTTCTGCCTTGCCACAGCAGTACTATGAATGCTAATAAAAAGTGCTTCTCATTTTCCATTGCATACATCAAACAACTCAGCAAACAGTGATACGAGGATGAAGACCTAAAATCATACCATTCCTTTACCGTTCTCATGTAAATCTGCTGTTTTCTGCCTTGCCACAGCAGTACAATGAACACTAATATGAAGTTCTTCTCATTTTCCATTCAAAACAGTACATGGGATAACACTATCTCATAGCAGTCATTGCAAATTATTGTATCCCTGGACAGAGCCTGTAGATCTAAACTGCACCAACAGATGTAGTTTTCCCTCCATACTTGGTTGACAGGAAATCTCTGGTTCCTGGCAAAAATTAGGGAGCTTTTTAAAGCCCTGCTTTCTACAATATAATACATTTATAGTACAAAACTCAACACCCAAAAGGCTTTGATGGAAGAGATGCATGAAGTTGCATAAAACAGTCTAATGGAACACATATATACATAAATTGTCCCTAGCATCTTAAAACCAAGCAGTTTTGTGGAACACATATATACATAAATTGTCCCTAGGATCTTAAAATCAAGTAGTTTTGAACACATCTGTTGCTTAGTGCATGAAAAAAGACAGATGTTGAGTTTAAGCACGGGATTCTCAAAATTTTCTGTTTTACTGATACTTGTAGCAAGAGAAGGTTTCACTACGTTATTGATACTTTTGACTTGGATGACAGAGCAGCCTCTCCACTCCCCTCCAGCCCCTTTGCTCATCGCTTACCCTGTGTCTTCTCCTCTGGCCTCAGCAGGAGAAGCTGTTGGTCAAGCTCTTTGGAGGGGATGGGCCTCTGAGCAGTGCCGTGTGGGAAGATGCCTCAGTGCGAAGCGGCTGGGTGGAGGGTGTGCACAGCATGATGCATCACCAGCCTGCTCTCCACTTCCTCTGCAACGGTGGTGAGTACTTCCAGGACTGGGAACTCCCCAGATTCTCTGTCTCTCCCATTCCAGTCTGTAACTCCAAATGAGATGGGAGCTTTCGGTCATTTAAGATAAAAATAAGCCATTTGTCAAAAACTCTCAAGTCATTGAAAGATGTTGGGGTTTTTTATTACATTAGTTATGCATTTTATTTTTTCTGGTTTTTTTTAATCTCTTTTTTTCTCCCAAACACTGAAGATGACACCCTTTTTAGAGGGGAAAGAGGCACATCTTATGAAATACATGACAAAAATAGCTTATTAAAAGCCTTCTGTATTCTTATTTGTAACTCTCAGTATAAGATACATTTCAATATAATTTAATGCAGAAAAACTAACCAGGAGCTCATTTATCTCTTAATACTTTCACACATTTGCAGTCCTGTTGTTGCTACACAGGTATGTAAATTCATTTGTTAACACCAGCTTTAGATCCCATGTGCAGAGGGGCCTAAAAGACTGGATTGGTATTAAAGTGCAGCAAGTGCAGCTGTTCATGTGATGGAAAAGTAGTACTGTTGCTGCTGCTTATGTTTTTCCTACTGGTTGTGTCCAGAGATGGTACAGGTTTCTTCCATAAATACATAGTGAGCATGCTTTCAACTCTCCCTTACTAATGTTATAGGAACAGAGGACTCCTCCAGTAAGTTACTAGAACACCTGAGGATCTAAAAATAATTTTACCACCTTTTTTTGTTTGCTTGTCTTTAGGGACTGGCTGACTTTGAAATGCCATAGAGACTACAAAATAAAGTATAAAAACCCCCACCAACACCATTTAAAGCTGGGTGGTGCTTGAATTAGGATAATACATGGCTGGAATTCATCAAGGCTCCACCTCACAATGGGAAGGCTGTTGATTTTCCCTCCAGTGACTTATTTTTGTTTTCCCACAGGAGGCATCGACGTGATCTTCGCTCTGCAAGGGGATCCCAGCCTGTTTGTGGCTTCAGCTGCCAGTCGGCTCCTGGTGCACGTGCTTATTCTCTCCGTGGAGTCTGAAACGACTAAACCTCTCAGTGCAAAGGACTGCGACTGGCCAGCCTGTGCCCAAATGATAATAAAGCACATAGAGGATTCCCTCCAGTCCAGCTCTGCCTCTCACGTCGAGCAGTCATTAAAACTGTTAACTAATTTGTTTGGCAGTTGTCGTTCTACGTGGACTGAATTACTGTGGTCAGGAGTAGCAAAGCAAATAGAATCCTTTCTGACAGAAGAGACTGTTCAAGTACAGCACATGCTGGCCAATCTTCTGCTTAGCATGGCATGGTAAAGATCTTCTGGGACCTTGGATCCAGTGCTGAGATATATCTCTTTTCCACCATCTAACAGGGACATATTACTTACACTTCTTTCTTCTCAGGTCCCCTGTGTTTTGTGACAGCGAAGGCAGTTTTTGGGCATTAGTGACTTCTGCTCTGGAACACTTAACCCCAGTACAAGCAGGTCCTTTGGCAGTGGGAATTCTGAGGCTCTACAAATGGTAGGACTTACTGCAATGAAATTTTTGCATTCTGCAGATGTTTCTGTACTGATGTCTCTGTTGCCTTTCCAAGAACTGGCTTTTTTCCTCACTGCATTTTCCACTACATTCCTTAATATGTAAGACTGGTTGGCAAGAACTGTGCTAACAAACTTCAAGAATAATACCATTTCAAAGAGAGAGAAATAAAAGGAGCTAATATCACGTTTATGTGTATACACTTGTATCTTACCTACAGCAGGAAGGAATAGCAAACTCTTTTAACTTTATACTGCCAAGGTAGATTAGGGGGACATAATTTGCTCAGGGCCTTCACCAACTCAAATTTCAAATATCCCCAAGGATGAATATTCCACAGGTCCTCTGGGAAACTTGTTCCAGTGCTTAGCAATTTTCATTTCCCTATGAAAAGTATTTTCTGTATATCCAGTTGGAATCTACCCTGTTGCAGTTTAAGACTCTTCTCTTGTTGTGCCCCTCTAAGAAGTCTGCTGCCTGTATCTTCTCTGTACCTCCCTCTTAGTGAAAAAGCATTGAGAAATCACCAGATGTTAAATGAATACAGCACATATAAATACTGATTTAGGGGCTAAGTAATGCCTCTGCATTAAGATATAAAGACACGTTTTTGTTGACAAGAAATGCCTCTCTCTAAACCCCCTTCTTACACAGAATCCCACTCTCTGCATAGCTTGACAAGGCTGCTTATAAATTCCAGAGCCATTTCTCCTCTGTTTTCAGTTAGCCAGGAAAGCTTGGAAGAAGGCTTGAATTGTGGTAATACTTTCATTGCTCTGTCACTGCTGGCTTGTTGAAAAGCCTGCACAAAAAACATTATTCTCTCAGCATTTAGGGGCAGATGTTTGGGAAGGAATTGAAGTGTTCTTGTTTTGGTAACTGCTGTTTCCTCCTTGAAGCCCACAAGATGTGAGGATTCAGGCACTGACTGTTCTACTTCAGCCAATGGACTGTATTTTGAGAGCAGCCTCCCAGCCTCTGGAATATGCAGGTACAGTTGTGATAGAAAAGTTAGAGGCTAGTCTGCTTG